GATTCCTATTTGATCGTAGACGATAAGATTAGCAGCACCAGAGTTAGGTTGTCTATCCACATGTCCGTATTTCCCTGGCATCTCAGATAGGCTTTTAGCTGAAGGAGTAAAGATTCTTCCGAAACGTTAGCTCGCTGGTGGTCGGTGAACGTGTGAATTGTTTTCGACCTAGTAATTTAAATAGTCGGTTGAAAAGGTCAGATTCGAACTGCCCGCCTCTGTCGGCTGGGATGGTTGCCGGCGTTCCAAACCTGGAAACGAAGTACGCAACGAAAGTTTTGCCAACTGTATCTGCCTGCACGTCCAGAATTGAGGTGGTTTCTGGCCATCGGTATTGGTGAGAAGATAGCAGTTTTCGTTAGAAGATGGAAGGGGACCCACAATATCCATGTGGATATGGTTGAAGCTCCCTGAAACATGCTTTAAACTGCTTATATGAGTCTTGGTGTATCTATGTACTGTGTTATTTAGACACACCGGGCCGGCCTATGTCCAGTTGGCGATGTCTGCTTGTACCTTTGGTCAGATAAAATATTGTTCGATGAGCTTTATGGAAGCTCGTATTGGGATGTACCAAATCTTGGATGACCTGAAACACCTTTTTCTGTATGTAAAGTGGCACTAAGGGTCAATGCCTGTCTGTATATGCGTCTTGCCAAATGTTGGGTCCCTCGGAGATGTCCACTTGTGCCATACTCAGTCTTACTCAAGTTTAAGCCGTCTCATGAATGTGTTGACTCGTCTGAGCTTCCGCCGTGGCTTCGTAGTCAATGTCTGCTATTGTGGAGATGGTCATGTGTTCGATGCGGGACAGGGCATCTGCGACTAAGTTGTCTTTACGCCTTAAGTGGCGCAGATCAGGTGTGAACTCTGAATAAGCAAACAGCTGACGGATTTCGCGTGGCGAACAATTGCCTGAGATGTTCAAGAGGTGTTTGGGGTCCATGAGGATGTGTAATTAGCAACCTCTGAGTGTGTGCTAAAAATACCAACTCTCGGGTGCACTTAGTTTGAGTGGAAAAAAGAGAGCGGTTGTGACGCTTCATCACTGTTATTATTTGGACCCAGCCTGACGCTTCTCTAGAGGCATCTTTTACTCGGTTTAATTTGGCCTCGGGACTTGAGTGTGCTAGTTAAGTGGCGCTTGCCAAGGATGTCTTAACTCGCATGTAAATTCTTTCAGTGTCTGTGCGTATAACAACCTCTTTGCGTTTAGCCTTTACACTTTCTTTCAGTGGATTCAGGAGGCCAATACCATTGGAAATGAAACAATGGTAGCAATTTCCCGTTTAATGATTTAACAACACATGGAAGAGGAGAATGTTTTATGCATCTTACCTTCGTCTTATATCGGAGAATCCCGTGCTGATCGATGTGGTGACCATGGAACTTTAATGTGGTAGAGCCAAACAATGCACTTCTCAGAGTCCTTTAGGATATTGCGTTAAGTTAGTCTTTCAAACAGATCCTTTAGATGCTATTGACGTTGTATAATATCTCCACTGATGATGAGGATGTCGCCTATATAAGTGAATCCATCATGTCATACATCTAACTTTAGAAAATTGTGTGACTTTGCTGAGAACAAAAGGCATTCTTGTGAACTCAAAAAGACCAAAAGGGATAATAACGTGGGTTTTGCTTACTAGTTTGGCACACTGGTATCTGGTAATAATCTTATATGAGTTATATCTTCGAGAGAATGACATCAACTTATAAGTTTAAAGCAAATTCTGGGATTTGCAGGAACCGAAGTCGTAACTGAATAGAATTTTTGGAAGTCTCTTCAAAGTATCCATCCGTAACTTTCTTTGTTCAGGACCGTGTGAAATATAGAACCCCATAGAATATTTGGCGGCGAATAAAACCGATGTTTATTACCTCCTTGAAAATAGACTTCAATGCTTTAATGTTAGAATATCTTTCATTTCGCTTGAAGAAGTGAGGGGAAGGTATTCGTAAGTTGGCCTCACCGGAAGCTATGAAGTGATTCTTTGGAGTTGTAACGGTACATTTGGGTGAATATGTCTTCGGCTCACTGCCCTGTGACCCCGTTGAATCCTTACTGAACTTTCATCGGTCATGTGATGGACATCATCAGAGCAGGACACGATGTTTAACGATGATTTACCAATACACAAATACAGAAAAGTGAACCAAGTTGGACTATAAGGAGTAGCTATGTTTGAAGCTAGTCATTTATTCGTACAAATCTGCAATCACAGCTCCAATGCAATCCTCTTACAGCTTCCGGTGAGGCCAAACTACGAATCTCTT